AAAATGTTTGAAGATTTTGCTTTCCTTTGAATCACTTAATGAATATTTAGTTGTATAAGCACTGTTTCTGAGAACTGCTGTACATCTGTGTTGCATGGAGTCAACCAACTTCTGGCACCTGTGAACAGGTATTCCAGCCCAGGATGATTGGACTACATCCCACAGTTCTTCTCTATTTCTTGGTTTTGCCTCAGAAACTGCATTTTTGATGTCACCCCACAAGTTTTCTATTGGATTAAGATCCGGGGATTGGGCTGGCCACTCCATAACGTCAATCTTGTTGGTCTGGAACCAAGATGTTGCACGTTTACTGGTGTGTTTGGGGTCGTTGTCTTGTTGGAACACCCATTTCAAGGGCATTTCCTCTTCAGCATAAGGCAGCATGACCTCTTCAAGTATTCTGATGTATTCAAACTGATCCATGATCCCTGGTATGTGATAAATAGGCCCAACACCGTAGTATGAGAAACATCCCCATATCATGATGCTTGCACAACCATGCTTCACTGTCTTCACAGTGTACTGTGGCTTGAATTCAGTGTTTGGGGGTCGTCTGACAAACTGTCTCCGGCCACTAGACCCAAAAAGAACAATCTTACTTCCATCAGTCCACAAAATGTTGCGCCATTTCTCTTTAGGCCAGTCAATGTGCTCTTTGGAAAATTGTAACCTCTTCAGCACAAATTGTAACTTCTTCAGCACGTCTTTTTTTCAACAGTAGGACTTTGCGGGGGCTTCTTGCAGATAGCTTGGCTTCACATCGGCGTCTTCTAATTGTAACAGTACTCACAGGGAACTTTACACCTTCTTCTTCATCTTCCTGGAGCTGATTGTTGGCTGAGTCCTTGCCATTTTGGCTATTCTTCTATCCATTCAAATGGTAGTTTTTCGCTTTCTTCCACGTCTTTCAGGTTTTGGGTGCCATTTTAAAGCATTTGCGATCATTTTAGCTGAGCAGCCTATCATTTTCTGCACTTCTTTATATGTTTTCCCCTCTCCAATCAACTTTTTAATCAAGGTACGCTGTTCTTCTGAACAATGTCTGGAACGACCCATTTTCCTCAGAATTTCAGAGGGAATGCACTGTAACCAGCATGTACAACATTTGCTGCCTTCCTTCCTTAAATAAGGGCAATAATTGCCACCTCTTTTTCAAAGAATGAATGACCTCACTAATAGAACTCCACACTGCTATTATTGTGAACATGCCCCTTTCAATTAGTGATTCAATTACACAGAATCAGCAGCATGCATGTCATGACTGTTGGGTCTGTTGGATTTCTATTACTCTACTACACCTGCTAGTAAATTATTTGCCGTGTAGAAATATCATTTCTACCAAAAACAGTGATTGATCAGGTTAGTGATGTCTGACTGCTATTATTTTGAATACAACTGTATATATATATAATTATTTCAGGTACTTATATAGCGCCATCAATTTACGCAGTGCTTTACATATATATTGTACATTCCCATCAGTCCCTAATCCTCAAGGGGTGTACAATGTAAGGTCCCTAACTCACATTCATACATACACATATTAGGGCCAATTTAGACAGGAGCCAATTAACCTACCAGCATGTCTTTGGAGAGTGGGAGGCAACTGGAGTACCTGGAGGAAACCCACACAGGCACAGGGAGAACATGCAAACTTCAGGCAGGTGGTGCCATGGCTGGGATTCGAACCAATGACCCTAGTACTGCTAATATACTGTATATATATATATATCTACAGGTATATCTATATATACTTTGTGTGTATATATATATATATTTATATATATATATATATATATCACAGTGGCTAAATGGTCAGCACTTCCACCTGGCAGTACTAGGGTCATTGGTATATATACGCAGAGTGCACTCAGATGTTTACTGGTATGGTGATATAGATTACACTGATATAACCTAGTAATTATGTAATTTAGCTAACTGTGAGCATACGGTATCTTTTACCTGCTTATCATGTGTTGCTATTTACTCTCACACTCCAGTCACACTTGCGTGACTCCAAAGTTACATGATTTTGATGCGACTTTGAGTGAGACTTTGATCTGCCTTTACACGTTCTGGCACATCAAAAGTCATGCAGGCACTATGGGTGCCATTGAAAACAAAAGGCTGCAACTCGACAAGCGACTTTATTTGTGCAAAGTTGCATGACAAGTCGCACAAGTGGGAATGAAGCCTTAATCTGTGACAATATACACATTTCACTTCCAGGTAATAGTCTTGTGCTCATTTCCTGACACTCTCATATAGTTGTGTGCAGGGGCGGACTGACCATTCGAGCACTCGGGCACTGCCCAAAGGCCCGGGGTCAGTAGGGGGCCCCATGAAATGCCCCTTTTACCTTTTTCATAGGCTTTCTTGGGTGTGCTTTGAGTGTGGGCAAGGACACAGGGGCCCCATGATCCCTATTGCCCGGGGGCCCCCATGAGTTGTCAGTCCACCCCTGGTTGTGTGTAGGACACTAATACATGCGCTCACATAGCTGTCTGCAGCTTCCCGTTTTCTATCCAGGTGTGTCAGAGAGGGTCAGAGTCCTGGCAAAGAACAGAGAACCCGTTCTTCCAGACGGCTCCCTGGAGGGTAGGTGCTGCATAAGATACAAGTAAAGCTGTCACAGCTCATTGCCCGTACTAAAACATAGTAAAAGAAGGCACTGTAAGTACATTGTATGAAACGTGAGAGCAGCCAAGTGACCATGTCACTTCTCCAAAAGCTACAGTAGCCACCAGGAGGACCCCCGGAACACAGCAGGGGACGCACCCAGAAGAACTTCTCATTGGACAGGTATTTGCGTTTTTTTTCATTCTCAGATTCTTGTGAATAAATGACACAGCTGTGCTGGCGTAGCCATACACAACCGTGCCAAGTTCGATGAAGTACCTCTGACTTCTGTAAGGGTTTGTTCATACAAACCGCTATTACTGCCCCCCCCCCCCCCCCAAAAAAAAAACAATCCGTAATCATCTCATCGCCTGTTTTAACTCTCAAAATGCCAATGTACTGCAACCAGATATGTTGCAGAGCTGTTGTGGCCCTGTTCACTTCATTTGAATGGGTTGCCTTTGGCAGCAGTGTGTCGCAGCTTGTGTGAAGCCCTGAGCACTTGTGTGCCCTAGTATAGGTGGGAGGTAAAACCTTGGCTGAACCTCTTGCCTTTGTTACCCCCTTTAGCCACTCATGTGGACAAGCCCTAAGCAGTGGTGTAGTTAGGTTTTGTGCTTCCCTAGGCAACACAAAAATTGTCTGCCCCCATGGACAGCGACCAACACAACCCCCCCTTACCCCTCCCACGGAGAGAGAATGGCATTGACCAACAACACCCCTGCGTCCCACCCGGGAGAGCCTTCCACTACCCCCACTCTCCAGCGATAGAGACACACTTATCTTCACAGTTCCGGACATCCCCAGCAATGAGAGCCAGGCTCTACCTACACCATCAAGCAGCCCGCAGCCTCTCTTGGGTCCCACCTGGTTCCCATGGTGCGCATGTCCTTTCTTTCCTCCCTTCTTCTGCCACCCTAGGCAAGTGCCTTGTTTGCCTTGTGGTAAATACACCCCTGGCCCTAAGAGGAAGTGGCGATTTGAGGGTGTTGGGGCTGCAGACTCTGGCCATGCTTCCTTGTAAACTCTAAATATGGATGCAATATTAAACCTGTTCATAAAAGTGGAATTGATCAATGGAAAAGAAGAACAGCGGGAAGAATGTTAAAGGGTAACTCTACTTTCATGGGAAAAAATAGCAAAAAAGAATAAGATAGCATATACAATTACTACACAAGTCATATTGTAATTTTATGTTTAAATATATACATCATTAATAAATATTTATATCATCATCAATGTACACAGAGCTTTACATATATATTGTACATTCACATCAGTCCCTAACCCTGAAGGGGCGTACAATCTAAGGTCCCTAACTCACATTCATACATACACATACTAGGGACAATTTAGACAGGAGCCAATTAACCTACCAGCGTGTCTTTGGAGTGTGGGAGGAAACTGGAGTACCTGGAGGAAACCCACACAGGCACAGGGAGAACATGCAAACTCCAGGCAGGTGGTGCCATGGTTGAGATTCGAACCAATGACCCTAGTAATGCCAGGCGGACGCGCTAACCATTTAGCCACTGTGCTGCCTATTGAATGGTATTAAAAATTACCTTTTCATATCAATCTGCAGTTCTATAATTTTCTGTTATATGGCTACCTGAAGGCATTCTGTATACAGTTGGTGTACAGAACGCCCCATAGATATGCCATTTCCTGCTTGTGTGATTGGCTTACTGATTTCCCAGAAAGTCTACACTCAGATTTTGGGCATCCTCTGCAATAAAAATGTAAATTTTAGTGAGATACTCCCAAAGATAAGTGAGGTCTAAATGGATGCAGACCCTGCCCCTTTCCTCATTAGAACCCTAAACGTGCAGCAGCTGATTGATAGTTTTAACCACTTGCCCTCCAGAGGATTTTGCCCCCCTTCCTGACCAGGCCATTTATTGCGTTATGGCACTGTGTTACTTTAACTGACAACTGCGCTGTCATGCAACGCTGCACCCAAATGAAATTTAAGTCCTTTTTTTCCCATGAATAGAGCTTTCTTTTGGTGGTATTTGAGCACCTGTGCGGTTTTTTTATTTTTTGTGCTATAAACCGACAATTTTGAGAGAAAAATGTTTTTTACTTTTTTACTATTTTTAAAAAATTGAATTTCGTCATAATTTTAGGCCAAAATGTATTCTGCTACATGTCTTTGCTAAAAAAAAAATCCCAATACATGTACATTTTGTATGTGGAAGTTATAGTGTTTACAAATGTTGCTACAGATACTGGAATTTTTAAAAAATTATTTTTAGTAGTAATGGCGAGCAACTTATAGCGAGACTGCAGCGGGCATTCTGACACTGGGAGGGAACTGACTTGGTGTCACTGACATCCCCAGTGACACCAATACAGTGATCAGTGCTAATAAAAATCACTGACATGGATCGCAGGAAGGGGTTAACATGTGGGGCAATCAAAGGGTTAACTGTGTGCTGGGAGTGTTTTACTGTGTGCTGTGTGTGTGCTTTACACTGTAAGCACACTGCTTTGTATGGCTCTGCTATGCAGAGCCATGCAAAGCAGTGTTCAGGAGCTGACAGGGGAGAGAACTGTATTGTTTACATACAGTTCTCTCCCTCCATCGGTAACACTCCTCGATCACAGGGTGCTGGAGAGTAATCACCGGCCGGGACCTGGTGATTGACAGCCGAGGCTGCGAATAGCAGAAATGCAAAATATACGTGATTTTGCACACCCGTTGCGCCCTGTGGCAGTATTACTGCTATAGGGCAGATGGGAAGCGGTTAAAATCACTCCTATTCACATTCTTTTTGCACATTACAAAAACAGCTATTTCTTCAGAATAACAAAAGGTAGGAAATTGCTACAAAGTTTGTTAAAATCCTTGCAATGTACATAGATCACCCAGAGGGGAATGTTTTTCTTCTTCAAGAAAGTGGAGTTACTCTTTAAAGATAAATGGAGAGAGAGAGGGGGTCAAGTCCAGGGGAGCTATACACTATCTTTGTCCCAAACAGATTGACTTGAATGGAAGCAATGCAGGGGAAGATTCCTGAATCTCAGCAATTACTACTTTGTACCAATCTCAAGGATCCTGGGAATGTATCATTTGCATGTTCCGGAGTTTTGGCCCTCAGATCCAAGTCTGGCAGACAGAAGCGTCAGTACTTAATAATCCTGGCATAGATGAGAGCAGTACATCAGCTCCTCAGGATAGTTTAATATTTCACAGCCGTAATACTCCCCAAGCTCTGCAGCATCATTTTTTTTCTTTAATGCTATCTACAGTACTTATTTGATACTTTACAGGGAATGTGTGCTCAGAGAAATGCAGAGGCTGTCATATTTAACTTTCTGAAAATACTAGTTACTAGGCTGTCATAGTGATCCGTTGCCTTCAGTACTCAATGACACTCCATTACCATGAAGATAAGAAATACTGACTTTATGCAGACTTCACTTGCCACATGCTTGTTCTCAGACACTGAATGAGGCGTATATCGAGCATTTTCAGAAGGAGATCAGCTATGGCAGGTGCCTAGACTGCTAGAATAAGTAGACGAATATTCGCTGCAGGTAAAGAAGGAACAATAGGGCAGGTAAAGACGGAAGGTGAAGAGGACTTTAGTGGCACCATATGTTACAGACAACCCAATGAACAAATAAACAGAGCTTTATTATTCTCAGATGTATGGCCAGTTCACACCAGATGCAGTCCTGTGTGTTTTTTTTTTCTGCATGGACAGTAGGTTATGTAGGTTTCAATGGCATAGCTCACACCAGTACAGTAAAAAAAATAAGAACATGCTGCATTTTTTCTGCATGGAACTGCACTGGAACATTGGAAAAACGCATCAAAAATGCACTGCAATGCATTTTTGCCTGCAATTTCTCTTGGTTGTTAGGAGCCAACACCCGCTGGCGTCCTAGCAACCAGTGACTCAATCCTGGTGTTAGCAGCAGGGATGAGTCATTGGTTGTTAAGGATTTGGCGCCTGCTGGCTTCCTAACAATGATGAGTCATCCCCACTGACAGCAGAATGCAAACAAAAGAGCAGGCATCAACCACTTAAGAGCCACCCCATAGCAGATATACTGCTACAGGGCAACTCTGCTGTGCAAAATCAAGTAAATATACGCGATTTTTCATTTCCATGTAGGGGGCACGCAAGCTGAGCTACCCATGCCGCTATTGGCTGCTGGATATGTCAATCACCGGGTCCCAGACGGCGATTCCCGGCCAGGACTCAGTGATCGTCAGCAAGGCTGAGAGGGGAGAGATCTGAGAGATCCTGTCAGCATGGACACGCTGCTTTTTATCTGCAGAGCAGAGATACAAAGCAGCATGTCTCCCACGTAAAACACAACACAGCACACAGTTAACCCTTTGATTGCCCCAGATGTTAACCCTTTCCTGCCCAGTGCCATTAGTACAGTATCAGTGCTTTTTATTAGCACTGATCTCTGTGTTAGTGCCACTGGCAGGGGCGGACTGACCATTTGGAAACTCGGGCACTGCCCGAGGGCCCGGGGTCATTAGGGGTCCCATGAGATGCCCCTGGTACTTTTTTCATAGGCTTTTTTGAGTTTGGGGAAGGACACAGGGGCCCCATGATCCCCTATTGCCCGGGGGCCCCATGAGTTGTCAGTCCGCCCCTGGTCACTGGGGATGTCAGTTGCAGTTAGTTCCCCCCAGTGTCAGAATGCCCACTGCAGTCCCGCAATAAGTCACTGATCGCCGCCATTACTAGTAAAAATAAATTCCAGTATATATACCGCCATTTGTAAATGCTATAACTTTCACGTAAACCTATTAATTTACACATATTGGGATTTTTTTTTAAGCAAAGACATGTAGCAGAATACGTTTTGGCCTAAATTTATTTTTGTAATTTTTTTTATTGGATATGTTTTATAGCAAAAAGTCAAAAATATTGTTTTATTTTTCAAAATTGCCGATATGTTTTTAAAATAAAATACGTACAGGTGATTTGTGGGGAGAAAAAGGACATACATTTAATTTGGGTGCAGCATTGCATGACCGCGCAATTGTCAGTTAAAGTAGCATAACGCAGACCGGATTGCAAAAAAAAGGCCTGGTCAGGAAGTGGGTAAATCTTCTGGAGGGCAAGTGGTTAAGAAAAAAAAATGTGGAGCTCCTCCCACACCCATTGCCACGGCCAGCCACAAGACCCCACACCATAAAAAAATGGCATGAGTTCCCCCCCCCCCCCAAAAAAAAAATCCATACTGGACCCTTATCCAAGCATACAGCTCGGCAGGCCAGGAAAGGAGGGTGACAATTAATTCCCCCATCCCAACCATACTAAGGTTGGCCATACATTATACAATTTTCTTTGCTTTAGATTTACCAAAAACCATATAATATGAGGTCAAACCTATACAACAATTTCAGTTGTATCCAAGTAGGCAGGCCCTTGTACTACATAGTTGAAGGTAAATCTAAAGGAAATTGGGCAGAAATTGGACAGAAAATTGTATATTGTATGGCCAGCCTAAGCCACATGCTGGTGCCAGCTCCTAACAACCAAGCCTTAGAAAACTTTGGTAAAAAAAAAAAACAAGATGGAAAAAACGCACCAGAATGCAAGTATCTGGAATGCATCCGGAGTGCTTGTTTGTGATGTGATCGTGCCCTAAAAACAACAAAAAAAAAAAGGTCATACACAGTAATAAACATCCTATGTTGCTCTCAGCAACATCGTTGTGTGTACAAGTGACGCCACCCATTCTGTAATGGAATACATCATATGGAAAGACATAAGCAGTGACACGCTTGTGCAATTAAAGCATAACAAGAATATATCGGATAAATCACACCAAAAAAGGGGAAAGAAACTGTATCTCTACCGGGACCATAGAACATAAAAAAGCAGTAAAACAAATGGAAAACCACAACTGATTCCAAGGGAATTCTAACTACTACTTTGGCAATTTTCTGTCCCCCCCCCCCCCCCAAATGCATTGACCTAATACTGAATGTATACCTTTTCTGATGCCTGCTGGCATCCCTTTAGGTGAGCTTAAGGCTCAGCTCACACCTATGCAGTTTGCTATTTGTCCATTTTGCAGTGCTTTTCGTAGTTCATTTTGCGTTTTTCTACATGTGTTTTTGCAGTGATTTTGCCGTGCTTTGTAAAGCCCCCTTTTTTTTATAAATTGGAATTTTTTTTTGCTGGGCAGAATAAAAATGCAAAACGCAAAACGTGGCAAAATCGCAACAAAAACGCCCTACCATGCATTTCAGCAGATTGTCCACTGAATTCTATTTTAGCAAAAATGCTTCTTTTTGCATTTAAAAAAGTCCCTGACCCTTTTCAAAAAGCAGCAGCTCCAAAAAAGCATAGATGCGAACATGTTCCATAGGAAACCATGTTAAATGGACTGTAAAAAGCACTAAAAACTGCATTGGTGTGAACGGAGCCTTAGAGCAATATTGCTTACCACCCTCTGAAAAGCACGGTAAAGCATGGCTGGCAGGCTTTCAGGAGGCGCCACTGTTTCTTCTCGATGCCTTTTTTTTACTTCCTTTTGTATTCAATGACCAAACAGCGATTTTACATTGCAGACTGTGCACAGTTGAAATGTGTCCCCATTGATCTCAATGGACGAGTTTGACAGCCAGTGCCCTCTGTTAACTCTGCAGCCCAAGTCGCATTGCTGTAGTGTTAGAATTCCAATGGGCAGTCAAACCGCGGCTCAGGCACCGCCCCCCCCCCCAGCCACCATTGAGCCCTCAATGCCGGGAGGCAGAGTAGCTTCTTGATAACGTAAGCACTGTGATTGGTTCTCAGAGTGCAAGTATATGATCCAAACGCACACGTTCCTGCGTTAAAAAATGGCTGTGTGTATGAGTGGGTGCTGCAGTGACCGTCGGCTGGAACCGAACAAAATCAGCAAGGAAAAAATGTCACCAGCACACCGAGGATCACCAATATGGGTCCAAAGGTTTTAATAAACCATCACATAGTTACAGCAAGGCAACGTTTCGGAGTCTCGCAGGACCCCTTCATCAGGCATGTGACGACACATGCCTGATGAAGGGGTCCTGCGAGACTCCGAAACGTTGCCTTGCTGTAACTATGTGATGGTTTATTAAAACCTTTGGACCCATATTGGTGATCCTCGGTGTGCTGGTGACATTTTTTCCTTGGTTCTCAGAGTGGTCACATAATCAGGAGCCAAGGAGCTTTGTCACCCTAGGTTCACACCTAACCATTTTCTGCAGTGTTTTGCAGAAACACAGTACAGTCCATTCAACATGATTTCCTAGGGACATGTTCACACCTGTGCATTTTCACCAGTGCATTTTTTGGAAAGTGTCAGGGACTTTTTTGAACGCAAAAATTTGCATTTTTTTTTCTATAGACTTCAATGGAAACACTGCAGAAAAGCTTGTATTGCGTTTTTGCCACATTTTTTATGCATTTTGCATTTTAAATCTGCCTATCAGTAAGAGAAAAAAAAGGGAAAATGCATCAAAAACATGATGCAGAAACAGCTCAAACGCAACCTGCATAGGTGTGAACCTAGCCTTAGA